GGGGACGGGGGGAAGGGGGACGGGGGGGTGGGGGACGCGGGGCTGGGCTTGGCCAGGGCCCAGCCATGGGCTGTCCCCAAGGGGACGGTGTCACCTCCTCTGCGCCCTCAGAGGCGTGGGGGGTCCTGGAGGGCTGTGGGGGGGCCCTGGAGGGCTGTGGGGGGCCGAGGCCCTGCCGCGTCCCGGGGTACTCCAGCCAGTGCCGGAGACTTGCAGCCGAGCAGGGACAGTCAGTGGGGGTCCCGCTCTGCCCCGGCACAGCCAGGGGGGCTCGGGAATGGGGACCGAGGTGGGGGCAGGACCCCGGGGGGACTCACTGCTGGGACCCCCCGGCTGCGGCCCATCCTGCACCCAGCCCAGTATGCCCCAATACACCTCAGTACACCTCGACGCATCCCGATACACCCCGGTACACCCCACCACATCCCAGTACGTCCTCATCATCATCATGGCCGGGCTTCGCGAACGAAGATTTGGGAAGGGCTCTCTACCCACATTTGCTACAAGCGCGCTGGTGGCTAAAAAGCCCAATGCGGGATGGACAGGTCCGGTTACAAAAGGCACAGCGGAAAAACTCCTAGCACACCACAGTATTCCCCAACCCAGTATCCCTCACTACCTCCCAGTGCATCCCAGTACAGCCCAGCACATCCCAGTATATCCCAGTATGCCCCAGTACGTCCCAGCACAGCCCAGTGCGGCCCGTCCCGCCCCCAGCCCCGCGGCCCTGCCCGCTGTCATCAGCTGTAACGAGCTGTCATTAGCGTCATTAGCGCTAATTAGCCGCGGCCGCCCCGGGGCTCCCCGCCCCGCCCCCCCCGGCGTGGCCCCGCCCCCCGCCTCGCGCCGCGCCTTGTATGGAGAAGGAGCCGCCGCCGCTGCCAGGGGGCGGGGCGAGCCCGAGGGGGCGGGGCCAGGGGGGGTGAAGGCCCCGCCCCGCCTGGGGCAGGCAGTGACGTCACCGCGCACTCGGGTGCCGTGACGCCACACAGCAGGAATGACGTCACCGCCAGGCCACGCCCCTCCCGCCGTGCCCCGCGGCCGGAAGTGGCGCGCGGCGCGGGGAGACGTGTCGGAGCGGCGGGGCCGGAACGTGAGCGCGGGGGGGGGGGACGGGACACCGGGGGGGGCCGGGGGGGGGGGGGGGCCCCCCGGGGGGGCCCCGGGTGGGTGGCCCCCCCCCCCCCGCAGGATGATCACGGACGTGCAGCTCGCCATTTTCGCCAACATGCTGGGCGTCTCGCTCTTCCTCCTCGTCGTGCTGTACCACTACGTGGCCGTGAACAACCCCAAGAAGCAGGAGTGAGGGGACCCCCCCCGAAAGCCCCGGCAGCGCTCCCCCGCCCGCCCTCCGTCCCCTCCGGGCCGCACGCGATGCCCCCCCGGCCGCGCCGGGCGCGGGGCCGCCAGAGGCGCCAGGCCAAGCTTATTCCAAACCAGTTTTAAAGGAAAAACACGATGATACAAGACTAAAACAGTGTGACGTCGTAAAAGCCCCGGACCCCTCCGGGAGGGCCGGGGCGGGTGCGGGGGGAGCCCCCGGCCTGGGGCTCAGCGCAGCAGGAGAGGAGCTGCCGGCAGGAGCGGGGCCAGGGGCGGCCGGTGCGCAGGGGCCGCGGTGGGGCACAGCGGGGCGGGCGGGGCCGGGGGGGCCGCAGCCTCCTCTCCAGCGCCGCAGCCCTTGCCCGTGTGCGGGGCCGAGCAGGGCCAGGAGCCCTCGGGCTGCGCCGCAGCCCCCCGGAGCCGCGGGGCCGTACCTGGGGCCGCGGGCCCCTGCCCCGGCACGGGAAGGGTCCCTCGGCGCTCAGCACCCCCCCGGGGGGCGCGGGGGCCTCCGGACAGAGCCCTGTGGGACAGAGATCGGGGTCAGCAGGGCACGGGGCTCCCGCGGGCCCTTGTGCACCCACAGGCCTGAGGGTGTCGGGGTCCCAGCCCCCCCACCTGGCGGGGGGCTTCGCTCAGGGCTCCCACCACCCCGCTGTCGGCACGGGCTCTGGGGTGACACCACAGCACCTACCCAGGCCGCTCCGGGGCTCTCCGGGCGTTCAGCTTCATCGGGAGCACCTGTGGGAGGGGGGCACAGGGGAGAAGAGGGTTGGTGCCAGGAGGGGTCTTTGTCCCCACCCGTACAGGAGCTCCCTGGGGCTGCGGGGGTCGCACAGAGCTGGACCCCTGCCCCTGGGGTGTCCACACGGTTTGGGGAGGGCACTTGGGGCAGAAACACCTGGCAGAGCCCCATGGCTCAAGGGGCTCCCAGCCCTAGGGGCAGCCCCACAAAGGTGTTCCCCCAAAGGTGTTGCCCCGGGCACCCCCAGGCCTGGCTGGCAGAGCCACGGGGCAGCCCTGGGTCCCCTCCCTGCGGTGCCCCCGGTACCTGCAGCAGTGCTGGGCCCTGGAGCTCTCCCACACCTCGCTGGGCCTCCTGCGGTCCGTGGCTGGTGCGTGGCATTACCTGGGTGCCCACGGGCAGGGTCCCTGTGTGACAGAGGAGACAGAGCTCAGCCCGTGTCGGTGACAAGCTGTGTGCCATGGTGGGGGCACTGCCTGCCCTGGGGGCACGGAGCCATCGCAGGGTCCCCCTCCCTGCCAGCTTTGCCAGGGCCGGGCCCCCCTGCACAGCCCGACACCAAGGGCCATCCTGGCAGCAGCCAGTGCTGGAGGGAGGATGTGATGGGCACAGAGCTCAATCCCAGCCCTGCTGGTGCAATGGGCTCTACCCCAGCCGGGCCTGGTGCTCCCACAAATCACTGCCCCCGGCTCCAGCCAAGTTTCCAGCCTGGTCTCCTGTGGCACTGGTGTGACCGTGCTGGCCAGGCCTGGCTGGCAGTGAGGACCTGGGGGGCACAGCTCTGGACCAGGGGATGTCCTGGATCGTGGGACACCCGCTCAGCCAGGAAAGCTGAGTGGGAGAAAGGGGGGCCTTTGGGAGCCTGTCTGTGGTTGGCTGTGCTGAAGGAATACCTGAGTCACCTCAGCTCTGCTCCCAGTTTTGGCTCTCCCAGTTAAACTGCTTTTATCCCAACCCAGGAGTTCTCTCCCCATCCCATTGGGGAAGCAAGCAAGTGGCAGAGAGGCTGTGCTGCCCATTGGGGTGAAGCCAGGGCTGTGTCCCGTGGGGGTTGGACAAGGTGTCCAACAGCCAAGGTAGCCGTGAACAGCCACAGACCCTGCAGCAAACGAGACCCTGCAAGCAGGAGCCTGTGCTGGGCAGGATGTGCCAAAGCCACTGGTGCCAGTGGGAGGTACTGGAAAGCAACAGCTGACTTCACCTGGGCCAAAACAGCATAATGGAGTGACCAACCCCAGACAGCAAAGGCCACCAGCAGCCAAGGGGAGTCACTGGGGGTCTGGCAGAGACCTGGCACACTGACCTCCCTGGGGTGTGGCCGGGCTGGAGCGGGATCTAGGAAGGAAGTGGAAGGATGGGACAAGACCAGGGTAACAGGATCTTCACCCTGTGCCATCCAGCCCCCAGCCCATCACAGGTTCTGAGCATTCCCAGTTCCTTCCCAGCTGCCTGTGCAGGGCTGGGAAGGCAAAGCCACGGGGTCAGAGCATCCCCGGGCCGTGATCCCTGCGCAGACCCGAAGGAACAGACGGGACAACGTGCCCATGAGAACATCAGCCTTTTATTTCCTCCCACCACGTTCTCATGGCAGACAAGACACAGTCACAACAGAGGGCTGGGCAGCAAACCCCGAGGACAACACGACAAACACGGAGCTCGACACAAGCACAGCTTCAGGCACACCCAGTCACACCGGCAGCCCCGGCTCCGGGCTCTGCGAGGCAGGGGATGGGAGCAGAGACCTCCGGGGCTTTCCCTGCTGGCCAGCTGAGGCACCAGACCCCCGAGGGGCCTGGATTGGCACTGCCTGCCCCCCCTGCGGCCCTGACCCCTGCCCCACGGTGAGAACACCAGCACGGGGGGCACAGCCAGCACCTCGCCTGGTTTTGGCACTCCACTGCAGTACATCAGCCCAGGAGGACTCACCATGTGTTGGAAGCCCCCAGTGCCTCATGCCAGCCCTGCCAGCCCACCTCCCCACAGCCAAGGCCACAACCTACTGCTGCCCAGCCAGCGTCTGGGAAGGGGAAAGGCACTTTGGTGTGTCCCCACCGGCCTTTGGAATGCTTTGGGAGCGGCAGGAAGTCAAGCAGAGGTTTTCTGTGCTGGCTTCTCCCCCTCCTCCCGACGGAGCAGCAGCAGCTCCTGCCTGTCCGGGGCTGGAGGGGCCGCAGGTCTCCCTGCTCAGGACTGCCCCACGGGGATGAACCCCCTCACACTCACAGCTGCACACAAACCCACTGTCACGCCGTCCCAGCCCGGTGCTGGCTCCGAGCTCCCTCAGGGCCGCGGCCCCGCGCAGCAGCTCGACAGGCGCCGGAGCAGGCGCGCCAGGGGTCCCCAGCCCGGCTTACCTCTGCCCGGGGCCGGGGCGCTGCTGCCGCTCGGGGGGCTCGGGGGAGCCGTGCCCGCGGCCGGGGGTGGCCTGGGGCTGCCGAAGGTGAAGCTGGGGGAGGCCCGGAGCCGTGGGGAATCCTGCTGGCTGCCCCCGCTCCCGCTGGTGCCGTTGCTGAAGCTCCTGGCGCGGGCCAGGGAGTTGTCGGAGGCCGAGGTGGGCAGCCCGCTGCAGGGGTGAGAGATGGGGGTCAGCCCGGTGTGGCAGGGGGGGTTCCCCTCTGTGCCCCCCACCCAGCCCTGAGCATGGGGTGGCTGTGGCTGAGGCACCACCTCTGGCAGAGTCCTGGACTGGTGAGCAGCTGGGGACGGGGATGTCACCAAGGCTGCCCCTGATTGCTGCAGCCCCGGTGTCCCATGTCGTACGTCACTGTCACAGCTGTGTTGTCACAGGATTCTCCTTCACCCCCAGACACAAATCATTGTATCACTGAGGTTGGAAAAGCCCTCGGAGACCATCAGGTCCAACTGTTCCCCCCCCACTGTTCTGCCACCACTAACCCACCTCCCCCAGGCTTTTAAATCCTTCCAGGCATGGGGACTCCACCACTGTCCAGGGCTGGACAGCCCTTTCCACGAAGAAATTGTTCCCAGGATCCAACCTGAACCTCCCCTGGTCCCTTCCTTTTGTCCTGTACCTTGTTCCCCAGGGGCAGAGCTTGACCCACCCCACCCATCTCCGCCCTCCTGCAGAGAGTGAGAAGGCCTCCCCCGAGCCTTCTTTTCTCCAGGCTGAGACTCCTAAACCCCTCAGCCACCTCCATCCCAGTCCAGTGCTAGAGGGGATGCAGCAAAGACACTTTCCAGGCAACTGGGCCAGGTGAATCCCAACCGCTGTCACCCCTGCCCCCTTTCCCCACCAACAGCTCGGAGCACAGGGACCGACACCCGCAGCTCCCGGAGCTCTGCAGGGCCAGGCCCCGGCCGAGCGGGTGACCCTGGCAGGTGACTCACTTGGGGCCATTTATCATCTCTAAGTGCTGTTATCCTGCAGCTCCCGCGCTCGCCCCAGCCGGCCCTTACGTGGAGCTCCTGGGGGGGGTCCCGGCCCCTTCTCTCCTCCGCGGGGCCCCCCCGGCGCCGCGCAGCCCCCGCACGTGCTTCAGCATCCAGGCCCGCAGGTTGCCCAGGCAGGTGTGCTCCGACAGCACGATCCGAGGCCACGGGTTACACTCGGCCATGTCCAGCGCCGCCACCGCCACCGCCCGGCCCACCTGCAACAGGGGGAGAGGGGCACTGGTGAGGGGGGCACGGGGGGAGAGGGGGTTTTGGGGAGGGGGGGAGCACAGGGAAGAGGGGACGTCGGGGTGGGGCAACGGTGAGGGGGTCGTGGGAAGAGGAGGGGATATAGCAGGAGGGAGGGCACTGGGGAGGGAGAAAAGTAACCCGAGCCGCGAATCCCAGCCCAGCCCCTGGATCTCATCCCCTCCCCCGGCTCAGCGGGGTCCCCCTGTACCTGCTCAAAGAGCTCCACGGTGTATCGGGAGGGGAAGGCGGGCGGGGGTGGGGGGCTGGCGCGGCCGTTGTCGTGGCAGGCCCCCGGGATGCTGTTCACCGAGCGCCCCGAGTTGTAGTTGCACTCCAGGGTGTAGCTGTGGGGCACAAGGGAAGCCCATCGTTACTCCAGGGACCGTCGGCAGGGCTGGGGTGACCCCGCACGTCCCTCTGGGAGAGCCAGTTTGGCGGAGCAGGGGCACAGGAAGGCGGCAGGTTTTGAGGAGGGTGCTCTGATGGCAGGAATGGCCCATCCACGGACATACCAGAGATCAGCATGATGGAAACTTGGGATGGAGCTCGTGGGGGCCTAAGGGTGGCACCCAAAGTGCCGAGGTGCCTGTGAGGGGACCTCTCAATCACCTCTGGAAGGTGATGGA